TTTTTCTCAGCGGCAGCAATGTGAGAGATTCAACTTATTTAAGTTCCTCCCGCACATTGAATTTTTCATCATTTGAAAAAATTCCAGAGAGTTCAAACTAAAAAAGGAAAAAAAAAAAATGTATACTACTTAGATTCAACTTTATCTATTTATAATGTACTGTTGTTATTCCAAGAAATTGTTAAATTTTGCAAAGATAACCTAAGATCTTCAGAAACAAAACTGGAATTTACAGAGGTCAATCTCAATGAAAAAATTATATTTCATCCAGCAGTTAACACCGTAACAACAGTAAAACAACAGCAGAAAGCACAGACTACTTTCCCTTTCTTAATCTTTTTCCTGTATACAAAAAGAGAAGGTAGAATTTGATCTCACACGAGACTCATTTTCTACTTCACCGAGGAACAAAGTTAAGCGATACGTCTTGTCCTCACCATATTCCATACAAGTGGATTATGCTAAAGTGTTATTTCCCATCCTCATACAGGAACACGTCTACCACGGTACCGGTCGAACAGCTGCAGGATAGAAATAAACAAACTTAAGGTTCAATGTTTATCCTGTGAAGCTTGGATAAAAAACATGCTAATAATATGCAATTGTACCGGAGATCGAAACATTCTGCAAGTCATAATCTTGCGGATACACCATAATTCAACTTTGGAACTAAAACAAGATTCCATCATAAGTCAATTGGACCTGCTATTCTACTTATGAATTTTTATTTTTTTCTTCTCAGATCAGATGGCTTTCTTAACTAAGAGTGCTTGAACCGAGCATAGAAAGCCCCAATGAGACTTGTACCCTTGCACCAAGCAGGTGCCAGTCATTCTACTTGTGTACTTATATTCCATAATGCATCACTAGATACTGACTGCACCCACATTCTTCTCATTATGAAGTAGCATCATAATTGAACTTTTGAAAAAGCGAATACAGCATTCATATTCTCTATTGCAATTTCTTTTTAAGTACCACAGTAGCAATAATTGTGGTAAAAGCTTTCTATAAGTCTTCTTAACCCCAAAATAAGTCTATTTGCATATATGCTCATGCACATATACAGATGTACATATGGTGTGGCACAAAAGACATGCACAAGGATTGTTGTATGACAATGTGGAGCACAAAGAAACTATGTTCCTCCAGACAAACAAGCATACTAACGCTTTGGGAATTTCTTTATTTTGCTCATGCATGAACTTTGCTTGTTTTGCGTACCCACCACTGCTTCAGATTAAGCCAAATAGGTCAATTTATTAACCTAGGGTCTCAGTTTGATAATCATCGTTGCTACCTCCTCATTGTACTTATATTATGTGCATAAATCATGCTTAATAATTACTTTCTTGTAAATCCAATTAAATTGTTCAATAAAAACGTTCAATAAGATACCAATTGACCTTCATGCAAATATAGTGTATGTTTCATGCCTTTTGCACATAATATCTGCATAATTCGTTAACTAAAGTGCCATAATTTCATCAATGGCAATAATATCATCAGATAGTACCCCAGACAATCAACCTGACATAAATATTGCATCAACTCTTGCCCCAAATGTTGAAGCTCCTGAATTCTTAAACATTTTTGGAGGAACAGTTATCTTCACAATTTGGTGGCTGGATTTCAATAACCTTTAGTTACATTTTGACGGTGTCCAATAGCCTTATGCCCAGATTATCTGCTATTAATTTCATGCTATACTTACTAACTTTTAGTTTATATTTCAAATGAAGCCCTAAACCCAACAAATCTAGATGGGTAAGCACATTCCTACATCTTGAATTTCTTCTATCATGCCCACTGACTTAATCTCATGTATCATGTATCTATCCACTCTAAATATAAAATCTTATAAATTGTAAATTTCTTTT